GAGAAAAAATATTTTATGTGATAACAAAAAAACTTGTTTAGAATAAAAAATTTAAAAAAATTGTATTTTTTTATAATTAAAAAAATGGAAAAATAAATAATAAACTTCAGGAGGGTTAAACGTTTAATAATAATTATATAAAATATTAATGAAGCTCATCTATTTGCATATATAATATGAGGCAAAAAGAAGGTTGTTTATCTTTAGAAAAGAAAAAAATATTATTGATTAACCTTTAAAATCACTTCTTTGTAAGTTTGAATACCCTATTGAAGAAAATAATTATTGTTATCATTATACTTAATTTTATTATTTTATTACTATACGTAGAAAGAAATGATTTTTTTTAAATATCTAAAAGTTTAACTAGAAACAAATCTGAAAATAATTTTATTGAGCCATTAAAACAATTATAGGAAACTCAAACATGTGAGCAATATTACAAAAATTTTTATATTCTAGCAGTCAACTTGAACGTTCTATGTAATTATTTTATCAACAAAATTATTTTTTCATCCGTATTTAAATTTTTCAATATTTTAGCAAAAACTTTCTTTTTATGTAAAAAATTTAGAAGCGGAGAGAAGAAATCTCTCTTCGGCAAAATTTATTTCTTTAAGTACGAAGAAAACGTAATGTTACTGCTTAATAGTTGAATATTTTTCTACAAGTGCAGTCTCGTCATTGTTTTTCTTCTGAGATTAAACTGCCTCGTCGATTGCACTCGTCGCCAATTGATAGTCAGTACTTGCCACAGTAACAACGAGATTTTTCTCATGCTTTCTTTTGCAGACGCTACCGTTCGGTGGACGGAATAAACGCGAGGGTGGAATAAATCATCGAGAAGTGCGTGCCCGTGGGATGCATTACGCGCATTACCTCGAGAGGATCTCCACCATCGAGCCAGAGTCGATCGGACGAAATAATGCGATCGAAACGTATCAAGAAGGCGGCGCTCTTCAGATTGCTCAGATACAGGCAGTGCGCCAGGTGCCGACAGATAACTTAGCGTACCCGAGAGTATTCGGGACGATAGGTCGACGAGAATAAAGAGAAGTAGGAAGCGCACATACGAGAGCACATGAGACTGATCGCCATCGCGACAATGATTGACGAGCGTAATTTCACTTCACTGGCTGTGATTTTTACTCCTAGACTCCTGACTTCAGAGGCTTGACGCGTGAGAATCGTTAAGACTGATCAAAGTAAACTGCTCAGTGACTTCACCGAGGAAGCCTGCAACATCGTTCTGCGACGTAAGTTGTGGCATCACACAATCGAATCAATCGTATATAAAAGCACATATATAAACATTATATTGTTAGTGTAAACGTTAATTACGATCTTGTGTGAAGTGTTGCCTGTAATTTCCTAAGATCAAGTATCCTATCGAAGATAATTAAAACGAGAGAATTTTTCATTTTCGCATTGCTTTTCTTGCGTTCGCGTTTATTAGCGTCGTCGTAGGTTGGCATACAAACGACAAAATTCCCTTCATGGAACCCCCAAGATGCACGCGTGAAGCTCGGTATCGCGTTGTCGAGTAATCACGCGCGCTACGAAAGTAAATACAATTTTCCTTACATCGGATATATTCATCGGACGAACTTGGTGTGTTCCAGTTCGCGACTAATCGTGGCCGATTTTCTCATATTATTGTTCTCCCTTTTGCCGTTATTGAAAATCAAAATATTTCAAGAAAAACCTCTCGCAAAGCGTTTCCGCGAGAATTTGGTCGGAATTTGCGATAACTTTAGTCACATCAAGTGGAAAAACGAAGGACTACTTGGAGGCTTGCCGAACCTTGAAGAGGAGGAATCGCCAGCATTGAGTGGCACTTAGAAATAGTCCAATACTCGGATCATGCAATAATTATTTCGCTGCATCGATAGAATTAAAATCGTCACGCCGTCGTCTTCGTTATAAAGCTACTATTTGGCGTTTCAATGAAATCGAAAAAATTTACGAAACTTTAAGATGCTTTGTAACATCCAGATAGCAGAATAATAAAGGGAAGTAACAATTAAAAAGTTCAGGCAGTCGAGAGGAAATATTAGAAAGGAAAGCGGAAGAAGAAAGGGTGAAAAGCAAAAGTTATTACTCGCGATCGAGCGAGCATTTTAAATGTTTGGATTGAAAGAGAGGAAAATCGAACTGCGGAAAAATTGAGAAGAGGGCAATTAAGGAGTAGAGAATCGGGTAAGGGCCGAAAACGGGAATCGAAAAGGTAGAAACTAATTCAAGTGGATGATTCGACTGAGGTTCAGCGTATCGGAGGGATAGAAGTGAAGAGGTCAAAACGAGATTTTATTCGGTGTTTTAGTGAAAATATATATCTGTGCAGTGATTAAAATAAAAATCGCCGAAAATTTGGTTACTTCAGACAAAAAATCGACGATAATTAATGCAATTGTGTAATTATTTAAATTGAATTTTCGAGAGGAGCGCTGAGTTTCTCGATACATATTAAAGAGAGATATTTTAAAGATATTTCGGTGAAATTAGGTTAGAAATTGCGGAGTAAAATTATGGATGAATATCGTGCTTTAGGAAATTTGCTTAATTAAAAGTCCGCTGATTATTTTTTAATCGGCGCTTCTATAAAGTGTTGATTAAGTATCATAATGATATTATAGTAGTATTACTATAGTAGTATTCAGTTCCTAGAGCGACAGAAACTCATCGAAAATTCATCCGGCGTTTTGCGCAACTCGAGGAATAAATTGCGACCAAACCAAGAGGGATCGTTGGAAATTCATTCGGCATATCAGATTCTCGCGTAGAAGCGAAGTAATTAAAGAAAACCCGTGAGAATGTTTAGGCAACCACGAAGAAAGATAATTGAAAATTCATGTAACGTTTTAGCTCCTTTTTCTCTTCGTGAGAGGTGTGAAGGAAAATAATTGGCGGTCCATTGGACCGCCAATATCTTAATTGACTGCGTAAAGAAGAAAAAAACACTGAGAAGGAAGATATTAACTTTGATTCCTAGGAAGGAAGAGGCGAAATTCCAAACGATCGACATAACGGAATTAGTTTGGTATATTCGAGCGGGAATTTAGATGGTTGAATTAAAGATTCAATCGGCTACTTGCACGAACTCAAATTAGAAGGTGTGAACAAATCGCCTTCGACAAGTCATTTGAACCGATATTTTATTCGATTTCGAGGAAAACATATATATAATGCAGTGGAAATCGATGAGCAGAGGAAACGGAGAAGTTAAGGAAACGGAGGAGTTAAGGAAACGCGTGAGAAATGTCACTGAATGTGAAAAATTATTCCTAGCAAAATCCAGCGTCTCGCGTTCGACAAGTAGAGGATGCGTCATTTGTGAAGACTGTTGAGGCACAGAGGAAGAGGAAAACAGTCGGAAAGAAAAAGCGCGGAAAACTAAAGAAATTTCGAAGCCTGTCAAACGATTCCAAGTTCCGCGGTCTTTCTCTTCGGTAAAAATCGATCGTCGAGAAATAAAATCTTTCGCCGGTTTATTTTACGCGGAAACTACCACAGAAAATATCGATTCGGTATCGAAAGTCCCTGACAGCGAATAAAACCCACCCATCCACCCACGTTCGAAAAAAGGGTGGGCGGAGGATCGTCGGAAAAGGGAGGCGTGCGAAGTCGTTTAGCGAAACTGATTTACGCGGAATCTACACCCTGGGAATTTTCAGTATCCCCGGCATCGATCGACCCCTACTACGCCCTGCATTTCCGACACGTCGACAAACGATCACGAGAGATCACGAGAAGCTGCACCAAAAATTCGCCGTTCTCGCTACTCAAAGCAGAACGTGATCGTACTTCAGGAAGTCGCCGAAAAGTCAGACATCGTTTCATTTGCCCTTTTCCCACATAACGCTAGTGAATAGAAGTTCTGTGAAAGGGGGTGAGTACGAGAAGAACACCGGGGGAAAGGTTGCAATTTCCGGCCGACCACGTAACGATAAATTCATTGCATCGAGAGCGTAATCCTGAGGGACGAGCGCGCGTAGGGCATTCTGAATCGAGATTTCGTGACTTAGGGCACAAACGCGCGTTCATTAAAGGTAACACGTATACATTCTTCGCCCTTTTTCTCCATTCACCGATACGATCGCCTGAAGACGACGAGAAAGTACCAGCGCGAAGAACAAATGGAAGAATCCTGACTCGCGACACGAATCGTAAATAGGCGAAAATGTGATTGTCAGGAGGACTTATGTTCTGTCGAGCATACATTTTGTCACAGTGGATTATAAGGAACAGTTGACATAAGCGAGAGTCTCTTGCGTGAAGATCTAGTGAAGCATAAAACGCGAAAGCGAGGTGGGAATTGAAGGAATTTAATCGAAGATATAATAATAAGAAGAAAAATAATTTTTACTACATCTTTTTCTTTCTCTTTTTCATCATTTCTGAAGTTGTCAAATATAGAACGACGGAAGTAATCTGATTTTTTCGTTTTAACGAGCAACCGTTTATACACACTCGTAATGAAGATTCTCACGGCACGGAAAAGAGTCGGTAGTTGTGAGAAATAGGAATTTTTAATCGACGAAAGATCGTGAAATATTCGTTACCGAGTTAAGCAGGAAACGTACTCTCAGCCACAAAACGAGCAACAAGAATTGCTGATCCGGTATCGCTCAACGTCGAGAGAGGAGCAATATTTAAAAGAAAAATAATTTTTATTCGTAGGATCACGTAGGGATCGCGATCGTAATCTGTTCGTGCAGAAGCATTCGATCGTGCGTGTTCAAATGTGAAAGTTCAAAGCGTTCCTTTCCGAAGACACCAATAAGAAGAACGTATCTTCTTTAGCGAGGCATGAGTTGGAAATTGATTTTGACATCATATTGTAAACCGTCAGCTTTTCTTCGGCTAAATCGGAACATTCGTTAGAGTGTCTGATATTATATTTATTATTATATTTATTATTACCGCGAGAGAAACGTGCATCAATCTTAGAAAAAACGAAACATCTTTCATTCTCGAGAGATCTTTCATCTTCGAGAAATTTTTTATGTGAAAAAGTTTCGTGTATCCCTGCAGAGTTTGATTGTATATTTGCAAAGCAAAAGTATCGTGGGCGATTAGGACTTCTCGGAATCACCGTCGATTTATATAACAGGAAGATCGCCCACAGCTTCCTGGAAGCACCTGGTCGCATTTTATCAAACTAGAAATCGGGAAACGAGGTGAGATCATGAGAAAAGAGGTACTTAACGGATCGTTTCGACGTCGATAAAATTCGTGGTAAACGCCAGTCGACGAACGCGCCTAATAGAGGCGACGACGCTGTTTTCAATTCCCGTCGGGATAACGTCGGTCTCTCAAGCGGAACGAGCGACGGAAAACTTCGGATTCGATTTCGTAACTGGAGGAGGAGCACCCTCGCGGGTGGTTGCAGCCGAAGACGGTGGTAGAGGGTCGGTGGGTTACGGGGTAGGTACGTGATCGTGGGATGGCTTGTGCGAGGGAGTAAAAAGTGCAGTCAAAGCAGTATAGCGTGGCTAAAGCCTCCGAAAGAGAGATTGCAGACCGCTGCAAGTTCTGATATATCCGTGGTGAGGGAAAAAAAGAGAGAGAAGAAAGAGAAAGAGAGAAAGAAAGAGAGAGAGAGAGAGAGAGAGAGAAGAGAAACGAGACATATGCTGCGATCGAAGAAGATCGGAAAAGTGACGAAGATCAAGCGAGCAGTGTCAGCGCGTCAGGGGATGCCAGCTACACGTTCCCCTTCCTGTATTGCTGCTGTCTTTTTTTAGGAAAACGCTAATGGATCGGCGGCACGTGGATCGTATGACAATACAAAACTCGATGACGGACAATTAGAGCGATTTTATCGAAACGGTTTCCGTCAAGGCTCCGACCTTCCGCCCGTTGCGTCAGCGGAATCGCGCGAGATAGTGTTGAAGTATCACATTTGTAGAGTCGTGCGTTTCGTTGGATCGAAATAGTATCAAGTATAAACGTGGACGAGAAAATCGTCGCGTAGAATTCGAATGAAAATAATTAAACGTGTCCGGGGAAGTAACTAGGAAATTCGCGTTGTGAAGGATGAAAGACTCGATCGATTAACGTCAAAGCGATTGTTGGAAATCATGCACTCGAAATTCGCGACGGAAGGAAAATGGAAACAGTGACAAGTGAGCCACAGATATTCGAAACACAAACCAGATCGTAGCCTGTTAAATTCGATAGCCTCAGCGCGCTGTCTAAAACAACTCGCTGTTTAAACGCCGCGTAACGTTAGACATCATCGGAGATGCAACGCTAGCGATTGTGTGTATGCTGAGAGCGAGTATTATCGATTATCCGGGGATAACGTACGTTTTGCAACCCTGTTTGCGACCACGAAACTAAAGCATCGGATTGACTATCGGACAGTGTATGACGAAGTGTTTCAGCGAGCGTGTATGACGTGCGCATTAACGAGCTCATCCGACCGTAATCGTGGGAATATTGATAAAAATCCACGGGGATTGGTCTTCAATTAACGACCGCGTTCGACGAAAAATTAGAAATTATTTCCGATAAACGAGAAATGCAAAGAACTTGGTTATAACAGTTAACACTACGTTGATAGTATAAAAACAAGTGTAATTTATTTCGCAAACTTGAAGTCGTGTTTAAGAAAGTTCAGTGACAATCTTGAAAATAATTGAGAAACGAGCTGCAATTCCTGTCTTCATTCTGTGTAACATAAAGATACTTAAATTAAGTGGCGTAATATAAAGTTGTTTGATGTAACATCTTAACGACACTCGCGTAAGATATAAATTAATTGAAAAATTAATTAATTAAGAGACTAAACGTAACTAATCGATAGATTAATACACGAGAAAAGCGTGGTTGTTTCTCGGGTTCAAAGACCATGATAAACATCGAGCTTCCCCCAGTTCTAGTCCTACCGTAGAGTAAATTGACCGGCCAGTCATAAAGTTTTCAGTTATTATTTCTGGTAGTGCGAGAGGATTGTGGTGTTCTGTGAAAACTGCAAAGACCATAGTGCATTTAATCGTCCTGAGTTACATTTAAGTGTTAACGCAGAAGAACCTTGATCCCGTTACGACGGGTCGCGATGCCTCGCGCGTTCTACCGAGTTCGCATCACCCGTCGTCGTCACCGTGTCCGATATCCTCTAGAGTCCTTCGACAGGATCGCATGGGCGTACCCGAGAACCGCGAGAGTTAATTAAAATGCGAGACCTGAACGCCACCGCATGCGCTGCTTTGTACGACGGCGTCGAATGGTCAAGTCTGTGGAACGTGATTACCCTAATCGTTCTGGCGATCATCGATGTCATGGTGGTGGTAGGTAACGTCCTGGTCATTCTGGCCGTCTACTGTACCAGCAAGCTGAGAAACGTGACGAATATGTTCATTGTGAGCCTGGCGGTCGCCGATCTGATGGTCGGCGTCGCTGTCCTACCGTTCAGCGCAACCTGGGAGGTCTATAAGGTAAGATCTTTTTTCACTACATTAATTGGCAGTAGAATAATGAATAGGTAGTGGAAGGTCACCGATATATTACTGATATTTAAATAATATTTATCAGAAACAAAAGCTAAAGATAAAACTTTAAAAACATAATTACAAACTAGAAAAACTGTCTACTATCAGGTAACTACCGTTTACAATTTTGCAATAATTAACTTTTTTGTAAGATAAGCAAAAATAAGCGTCTAACAAAATGGGTCCTAAAACTGACTCACAAGTAAACAACAATGTCACATATTCCTATTCTTTTATTTTCACAGAAAGGAATCATCTGTACAAAACACCTACAAGTGTGAATGTACATGTATAAGATGTTCTAGAATCTTTTCAATATAAAACGATTTTTGTTGATTTATATGCATACTTTATGCTAATCTACAAACATGTAATGCGATAGCTTTTTTTAAGATTTTTTTATAAATACACCCCCTTGATTGCCCCTTGAGTTTCGATTGCCTCTAGAGCTATTTGACACTACGCAAGACTGTAATGGGCTTTCTACTAAGTTATTACCCAAGATTTAAGTCTTAAGCCGTAAAAAATTGACCAATTATAGTCGATTATTCTTCTCACATTCAACTGTAACTAGTCAATTTCTTACAGCTTAAGATTTAAAGCTTAAGTAATGACTTATTGTAGAATGTGCGTATAGATTAAGTTAGCTTATAGTCTTATCTTGCAGACAGGTATGCCGGTTTACGCTGCATCCTTACTTATATTTAAAATCATAATATGAAAAAAATGTAAAAGAAAAAATATAATAAAAAATATAATAATACTAATTTGAGAAACTATAAACATGTAAAACTATGTAATATCATCAATAATATAGTCACTATTATTTAAACTACGCAATTTGCGAAAGAAAATCATAATCATTTTATTTTTGCACTTGTAGAATTTATTTTTAACTAATTTTGTAAAAACAAACTACAAATATATAAATTATGAGTTTTTACTTTTTTAATTATCTAAACAGATTATGTTTTTATCAGTAATAAGATTCAATAATAAGCTTCCTTAGCAAGAAATAAGAGGCTGTCTTTTTAAAAGATCTATGTCAGTATCAGCGACTTTCTTCTATTAAAAGTGAAAACAGAGAATTAAAATAACATTGAGATTGAAAAATTCGGCACACTATATATACATATATCTTTATTTATTTATTTATTTATTTATTTATACAGGCTGATTCTGGGTTAAAATATGAATTTAGGACTTCAAAACAAATGAAATTTTCCTCTGGAAGTTTACTAGCAAACGCTTTGTTTAAGAGATATTAAGTTATAGAATTATATAAGGAATATTGTCGAAATAATCTAAGTTTATTACTTTGCAATAATCGAAACGTAATTATTCAAAGTTTTGCTCAAAATAATAGCTCCCAACTCTGAAACAAGTATTAATTGCACTTATCGATGAGAGAACAAATGGCTGACTGATATTGTGTGTCTATATAAATTTCTTCGCACGTTTGCATCTTCCGCTTTAATAATTGAAAATCATTAATGGATCCTTCATACAAAACCAAGAGATATTTCAATATTATTCATTTTCTATATAGTTCTGTAACCTAAGAAGTCAATATCTCTTAAACGAAGCGTTTGCGAGCAAACTTCCAGAGGAAAATTTTGTTTCGAGGTGCTGAATTTATATTTTTAAATTTGATAATTTAATTTGGCAACGTACTGCATATTGCTCTGTATCTCGTTCTTTTGCTACAACAATAAGTCAACTCCAAAAACAAAATTTTTCAAACAATAAGTTTGAATGTTTTGAATCATTAAAATTTTGTAATAAGTATTAATTTTAAAGTGCAATTTTGGTGTAATTACTGATTATAACGAAATATAATTATGTTTTCTAAAAGTGTTTTTTTTTCTTTATGTTTCTTCTTTGCAAATAATTAAAAAATGATAATTTTTAAGTTATGTCGTTGTTGTAGCAAATAACAATATATTTTTGCTACAAATGTTATACATATTATATATTTCTAATAATTATTATGAAAAACAGTAAAAAATAATCAAAAGTAAAGCGTAAAAGTAAAGCGTTCGATAAAAATTATCTGTTGCATTATAAAGATTCGATCGCACTTTATTAAAGCAGCGCATTATGTTTTGCGCTTTATATTGACCTATATGCATCTTGAATAACATTTATTTTGTCGCAATCAATAGTGTATTTTTTATACAACGGTGGGGTACAATGGGATCAATCGCAACGGCATTATTACGTATCGATCGACAAGTTGTCTGCCAGCAAAGTTTCATTCATTGGACGCTCACTAACCCACGGTTTCGACAGGATCGATTTACCCTCACAGTTTGAACAAAGCCGAATTCTGTCTCACGCAATATCCGCTTGTTGTCACAAGCAAGGTGTATTTTATAGAGGATGAGTTGTGCATTGTTTACAAAAAATATTACTACTCTGAAACGTACGCGAATGCGTTTGAAATCGCAAATATTTGAAGTTAGTTTTAATTTTAATTCCAGAATTACACAACCTAAGAAATGTTTAACAAATAATTTATTTTTGGATTATTTTTTCGATAGTTATTTATCTCAGCCTTTCTCAATATTTTTTTGAAATCTGTAATTCTCATTGATTCGATAGATCTCTGCAGTATATAACATTTCTTGTCTCTGTTTTATTTAACATTTATTGCATGATATATGTTTCTGTGTTACAAAACGATTTTTTTGAAAAATTTTCTATTATTTTCTAATCATAATTAAAATATTTTTGCATACAAACTATATTTTTTATTAAAAATAAGTTATCTCTTATGAAGAAAATAGTATTTCCAAAGCACAATTTTCTTTTTCTTTCCGAGAATATTACGTCATTAATCGCGAAACATTCTCGTTCATGTCTCGCTCATCTTTTTCTCGACGAGGTAATTCTTTCGACATATCTCTCAGGGATTCATTGCACTATTCCTTTGAGCATTGTCTCACTTTTTTCTAATACGATTAAAAGTATCGCGCAGTGGAAGAAATGTGCAGTAGAACGGTGGTACATTTTATCTTGAACGAGTTTAAGTGTGATTCACGGAGGATGCAACAGTTTGTTGGCTTTTCCCTTTGGTCCTTCTAGCCTGGATTTTCGTGCCTGCGATATTTACGTGTATGTACGCGAATGTTCACCAGGAACCTGGAAACGGGTCGGTGGGCAGTGGATGGAGTATAGAAGCGGTGTGAATCTCAGTAGCTCGAGCTGAGATTGCGGTGCTCCATTTAGCTGGAGTTTACACGATATAGCACAAGTTAGTTCACTGCGCACTTATCATGATACGACTTTTTCTTCGAAAAGTCTTTCTTCCTCCTTGCCTCTTTCTTCCGGAGAAATTGGTCAAGTGACGCGATATAGACCACCTTCGCAATACAAAGAAAAGAAAAAACAACAACGGTCATCTTTGTTGTAAAGATGCATAGTATATTTTATGATTTATATGTTTTAATAGACAAATAATTTAATTATTGGAACTTCATACTACGTTAGTAAGATATAGTAATACTAAATACTAAATAAGAAATGAGCACACAATGTAGGTCTATAAAACATCGACTTCTTGAAAATGTACGTAATGCATAGACTTGCAGTTGAATAATAAATAAAGATAGATGTCAGAATACTGAAAAGTAAAAATACATATTGGAATTCTTAGTACTGAATTATAGTTTATGTTAATATTAATCAGAAAATATCTCAGGGGATAAATAATCTCAGGGGAAAAATATTAAGATTATGACAAAAAATATATTTTTAAAATTTAATTTTTTTCCTGACATTTTCCCAAAATTAAACGCCTCGGGACATCGTTTAATTAATATACCACGGGTATGCTGGAATGTATCTGTATATACTGCCTACTAATTACATGACATCTGGAGACACGGTAGTGTCTCGGCGCTAAGCCAAAGCGCAGCGACACTGCCGTGGATACTTTACGCGAACCGGAGAGTTGCGGCAGATTGAGATTATCAGATCTCAATAACGGCTGACCTGATCGAGTTCTATATACGCTCA